GAACAGGGGGAAAATGTAAACCCTCCAAATTCACCATATATGTCTTTCAGCCGTTCTCCCATTCTGATAAAAAAAACGAAAGAGAAACACAAACAAAACCTACGTTTAAGACTAGTGCAGTGGTACACATCCTTACAACCACTCTGAGCTACTTGGAAGGCTGTGGCAGGAGGATCACAAGTTTGAAGCCAGCCCGGAAAACTTAGCAAGACCCTGTCTCAAAATACAACAAAAAGGACTGGGGCGGCAGCTCAGTGGTGGAGCACTAATGCTCAAGACCTTGAGTTTGCTCCCCAGTATGGCAATAAAAAGAAAAATTTATGTATAACTGTAACAAGTGCATCCATGGTATTTTATCTAGATGTTATGAAGATGTTATCTAGATGTTATGTTATACAGACACAATTTTATCTGCACTTTACCAGGAATTTGAATAATTTGTGTTCTTTTTTTAAGGCCAAGGAAACATAGTATTTTAATTTATTTCTGTGCTTTCATACTAGTTAATGATAAAGTCTAACTTTATTTAGCTAAGTATTTTTATTTCTGTTGTGGATTTTTTTTCAATTACTAATAGCCTAAATCACAAAATGAACAGCTTAATGTGACATATTCTGACTGGTAATCTAAATTAAAAGAAAAATACGTCAATACATCCACTGAAGGATTATCATCTCCGGTTAATTTCCAACAAAGTAAATGAACTGACATGAAGAATGGCAGTACAAGGACAAGCAGTTTAATACAAGCAGCCTTGGGCTCCATGGTTGGTAGAGCTGGGTCGCTCTTCCTGAGACATGCAGGTAACTGCTAACTGCTGAGTGGGTTGTCCTGGGCACTGCTGCTGAGGCTTTGTATAGGCTCTTGCTGCTGCGCAGTCAGCTACCAGGCTGGGGCTGAGGTCTTGCAAAAGCACGGAAGCGAAAGGTTGAGCTCACCAGAGACGCTGCCCCCACTTCATGAGCCCAGTCACGAAGCTTCCTGCCTGCCCTAGAGAAGGGAAGTTCTGCTAGAAAAGAGTGTTGTAAACAAGGAGAGAACCTTCTCAGAGATGCTTTCTCCTGAGCAATTTCAAGCTGTGACTCTACACTGAATCCTTAGGACCAACCAAATACTTGGCCTTTTTGCCCAGGTTCCACTTGCTTTGTGTGTAATTAATACTGCTAACCATATCAGCTCAACCTGCATGTGCTGTATACACATACTGTGATAGGCCAGTACTCACTGAATAGTGAGACATGGAAATCAATACGTAAAATGTAAAATTAAGTAACCATAGTTATAAGCTACCATAGTTACATGTGTTGGATAACTCCATAGTGTTAATCCTTTTTCCTGTGTTAATTCCTTTTTCTTGATTCTTTTAGAATGCATCTGTCTAGGGGAACTTACTCATTCATCAAAATTAATCTTAATCAAAAACCTGCTGGAAGGTTTTATGATAAAAGGGATTATTTTTGGTAAACACACAAAAGAGATGCAGGAACCAGAGAAGCAGGCCAGGTTTTAGGCATCATTAAGCCACCCTTCATAACACTGAGAGAGAAAACATCTTAATATGAAAATACTGCGACCAAACAATATTCAACCTCTGTCCGCACTGCCAAATAATTAAGTCACTAAGAACCTATGAAAACTGCTTTTATCGTAGGAGTCTGCCATGACATACATAAGTCTGCATTACCAAGGAAAAAGTGAGAAAATATATTGTGAGGGCTTCCTCGTAAGACCTGTGTGTGCACCCCTCTTTCAGGACACTGAAAAAGATAAAGTAGACTGAAGTCATCCATGAGCAAAAGATGAAATAGACTGTGGAGCTGGAGTTGGGGTAGAGGAGCTCCCTGATCCTCCTACTTCTGCCTTGGAAGCATTCATTCTCAGTCTTTGCATGGGAAATATAGCGGTGACTCGGGTGTGAGGTGTGGCCAGAATCATTTGGTGATAGCTATAAAAGCTGAAGCTTTTCATGAAGCTTGGAGCTCTTTGAAAATTTGAGTCTTTGCTTTGCAGATAGCTCTGGATCTTTCACATGAAAGATCATCTTAAAAGGTTTCTCAGCAGCCTAATTCATAACTGCTTATAAGCTTGGAAATTTTTTTTTTCTTTATTGGTACATTTTGGGTATACAATACAGTTACATCCATCATTGGGATCTTGTACCTTTACATGATGTATCTTGGATCTCATTTCTTTCCCATTCCCCTGCCCTTCCTTCACCCCCTCCACCCTTCCCTATTTACAAAGACTTTGTTTCCATTTTTTTCTTTTTCTCTTATTTTTTCTTTTCCCTTCTTGCCTTTTCCCTGCTACTCTCAATTTCCCTACACCTTTAGGCCTTTTTTTGTATTGCATAATAACAATTATATATTTTGCATCTTATTTACACTTTCAGTTTCTCACACCAGAGAAACTATTCAGTATTTACACATGTGTCACTTATTAGTTTCACTTGAGTATGTCCTCAATGTGCCTCCACTTAGCTATAAATGTCTCTTGTTTTTCATTCTTTATGGCCTAGCAGTAGTCCATTTTATAACACACACACACACACACACACACACACGCACGCATCTTCTTTATCCACTCTCCAGTTGATGGGCAATTGGGCTGTTTCCAAGTTTTAGCTCTTACAAACTGTGCCGCTATAAACATGGGTGAGCATATATCACTGTGGTATGATTCTTTTAATTCTTTTGGGAAGATACCCAGCAGAGGGATAGCTGGGTCAAATGGGACCTCTAAACCTAGTTGTCTGAGGTATCTCCATATTGATTTCCACAGTGGTTGCACCAGTCTGCGCTCCCACCAACAATGGTGAAGGGTTCCTTTTTCCCCACAACCCCACCAACATTTGCTATTTGTTGATTTCTTGCTAGCAGCCATACTTTGTGGGGTGAGATGGAATCATAGTGTTGTTTTCATCTGCATCTCTCAAATAACCAGTGATGTTGAATATTTTTTGTATGTTTATTTGCGGCTTTTACTTGTTTGTCTGAGAAATGTGTGTTTATTTCAGGTGCCTATTTTTGAATTGGGTTTTTTTAATTTGGGGTGTCTGATTTTTTTGAGTTCTTTTTATATTTTAGATAGTAGTCCTTTGTCTGAGCAACAGCTGGCAAAATTTTTTCCCCACATTGTAGGTTGTCTCTTAGCTGTGTTGGTGGTTTCTCTTGCAGTGCAGAAGCTTTTCAATAAGATGAGATCCCAGTTGTTGATTCTTCTTGCTAGTCCCCACGCTACTGAGAATTTGTCCACAAAAATCTATTCCTATGCTAATGTTTTTGAGAGTTCTACCTAACTTATCTTCCAACAAGTTTAGTGTTTCTGTTTAATATTTAGATCTTTCATCAACTTGGATTTTAGTTTTTCCAAAACCATTTATAAAAGAGGCTGTCTTTTCTCCGGTGAGAATGGTTGGCTCCTTTGTCAAAGATGAGGTAGCTGAGTATGTCTGGAGTGATTTCTGCATCCTCCAATCTACTCCACTGATCCTCAGGTCTGTCTCTTTTCCAGTACCATGCTGTTTTTATCACAATAGGCCTGAAAATGTTTTGATGGTGGACTTTGTTTGGACATGGTTAGATATATAATAAAAATAAAATTTGGGTTCCACACACTACCACCATAAAACAGCTAACTATACAGTGTTACATAAATAATATATTACTTTTAGAAAGCAGATTATATGATCTATGTACAGTATATTTTATTGCTTGCTTAAAATATTCATGCACAGAGGAAAAAAAAGAACATAGGTTATACACCAAACTGTTTATAATGCTATTCTGGAAAGTGACAGAATGAATGTACTTCTCTTCTTTGTTTTTCTTTTCTATATTTTGTAAGCACTGGATAATAAACATATATTATTTTGGGAAAAGTGTTTACAATTTGGCTTTCAAAAACCTCAACAATTGAAAAGGTTGAGATCTATTCCGTCTGTCGTACAGGTTAAAAGTCTAGACTGTGTTGTTTGCTATGGTAGCTTCTGGCCTCAAGTTGTTATTTTAAATTATATTTTAATTAACCAATTAAGTTCTTCGGTCCTGCCAGACATACACAGTCATCCATAGCCACCTTCCCGTCATCCCTGGAAGTTCTCAGTGGGCAGTGAGGTACCAGCTTCTGCCCCAGTAACCAGGAATGGAAGATGGGCCGGTGCTCGCTGGCCTTGGAGTGGGCACCTGGCCCTGGCCATGGACATGGAGAGACTCGTTGTCAGCAGTACGTCTCACAGGCCTCACTAACTGGTGGCCTCATGAGCTCAGACCCTTTCCTGTAGTTGTTCAGCCAGTTAGCACAGAGCAAGAACCCAATCCTAACATGAAGCTCTTGCCTCTGTGTCACTGCCACCGTCGTCTCCAAGAAACTCATGCTTCTGAGGGAATATTCAATTCAATAAAATTTATAATAGAATGCATATCTGATCAAGAGCTGAACATGCCATGCCAAGGGAGAAAAGTTCCACTTCTTCCCACCCCAGGGTATCACAGGTAGAAAACAGAAAAGCATCCTGGGTAGAGTGACAACACAAGGAAGTGACCGGTCTGCTCTTCTTGGAAAATCTAGAAATGCTTCACACTGGTGCACATGTTTGAAGTGGGTCTTGATATTTGTGCATCCAATTCACAAACCAAGATTTCTTTTCTAGTATTCTCAGTTTTTCCAAGACTCCCAGAGGGGCCAGACCCAATTTTGAGAATGCAGTTAATCCCTGCTCTTACTTCATGTGGAATAGTTAGATATGTTTCCCTTGACTGATTATCTTATGTTCAGGCTGGATCCATACATGTAAAATAACTTTAAATCTTCAAATGTAACAAAATAAACTGTGATTTTTCAGATTTAGCCATCCGTTTTGTTTGGGACTGTATGAAGGAAAATTTTCAAATGTGAGTAAACAGTTATTTTTCAGCCAGTTGTCTTGAAAGCATTTCAGGGTAGGTTAAGAACTTGGAGACCCTTGTTCATGAATGAATCTTGTCCCTGTATTTTCACAGATGCAATGCTCTTAGTGGCAGAGCGACTGGAAGGGCCATTCAACATTGAGTCGGTCATGGACCCCATAGATGTCAAGATTTCTGAAGCCATTATGAACATGCAGGAAAACAGCATGCAGGTGTCTGCAAAGGTATTTGCATTAGTGATGTACCTATTGATGTCTGTACATAACACAGGTGCGGTAACCTAAAACTGAAGTAAGGAGTTATGTCAGCAGGGTTTATAATTTCTAATATGCTGCCGGTGAGCTTTTCCTGTTGAGCTGTAGATTTGCTACTTCGTTAAAAAATGTCTACCAAAATGGCATTGAGCTGGGGAAGCAACTCTTTACTTCAAAACTACTCAGGCATGACGAAATTATTGGCTGCCTAAAAGTTTCCCTGAGTCCCAAGTATGCTGACTAATCCCTCACATGTGTGAGCAACTTTCTTTTTCAGTGTTTGAAAGTTCTGCACACCTCTGCTTCATGTTCTCTCTAGTAACTTCTAATTATATAATCAGCTGTGTAGACAAAGTACATGTTCTATATATTCAATTGGAAATAACTCAGCATCCCATCTGACTTACTTTTGTGACTACAGTATAATATTCATTAATGAATCTTCAGGGGCAAATGCTCCTTTGTGTAGAGTCAAACACTCATTAAAAAGCAAAAAGTAGCACATTTTCATAAATCATATGCGACAGAGCTCCTAGGTTTGCAGCTGTAAAACAAAAATAGCAGGTGCACTGCTTTTGTCTCCACCCTGTTGAAGATATCTAAACCTAGTTGTCTGAGGTATCTCCATATTGATTTCCACAGTGGTTGCACCAGTCTGCGCTCCCACCAACAATGGTGAAGGGTTCCTTTTTCCCCACAACCCCACCAACATTTGCTATTTGTTGATTTCTTGCTAGCAGCCATACTTTGTGGGGTGAGATGGAATCATAGTGTTGTTTTCATCTGCATCTCTCAAATAACCAGTGATGTTGAATATTTTTTGTATGTTTATTTGCGGCTTTTACTTGTTTGTCTGAGAAATGTGTGTTTATTTCAGGTGCCTATTTTTGAATTGGGTTTTTTTAATTTGGGGTGTCTGATTTTTTTGAGTTCTTTTTATATTTTAGATAGTAGTCCTTTGTCTGAGCAACAGCTGGCAAAATTTTTTCCCCACATTGTAGGTTGTCTCTTAGCTGTGTTGGTGGTTTCTCTTGCAGTGCAGAAGCTTTTCAATAAGATGAGATCCCAGTTGTTGATTCTTCTTGCTAGTCCCCACGCTACTGAGAATTTGTCCACAAAAATCTATTCCTATGCTAATGTTTTTGAGAGTTCTACCTAACTTATCTTCCAACAAGTTTAGTGTTTCTGTTTAATATTTAGATCTTTCATCAACTTGGATTTTAGTTTTTCCAAAACCATTTATAAAAGAGGCTGTCTTTTCTCCGGTGAGAATGGTTGGCTCCTTTGTCAAAGATGAGGTAGCTGAGTATGTCTGGAGTGATTTCTGCATCCTCCAATCTACTCCACTGATCCTCAGGTCTGTCTCTTTTCCAGTACCATGCTGTTTTTATCACAATAGGCCTGAAAATGTTTTGATGGTGGACTTTGTTTGGACATGGTTAGATATATAATAAAAATAAAATTTGGGTTCCACACACTACCACCATAAAACAGCTAACTATACAGTGTTACATAAATAATATATTACTTTTAGAAAGCAGATTATATGATCTATGTACAGTATATTTTATTGCTTGCTTAAAATATTCATGCACAGAGGAAAAAAAAGAACATAGGTTATACACCAAACTGTTTATAATGCTATTCTGGAAAGTGACAGAATGAATGTACTTCTCTTCTTTGTTTTTCTTTTCTATATTTTGTAAGCACTGGATAATAAACATATATTATTTTGGGAAAAGTGTTTACAATTTGGCTTTCAAAAACCTCAACAATTGAAAAGGTTGAGATCTATTCCGTCTGTCGTACAGGTTAAAAGTCTAGACTGTGTTGTTTGCTATGGTAGCTTCTGGCCTCAAGTTGTTATTTTAAATTATATTTTAATTAACCAATTAAGTTCTTCGGTCCTGCCAGACATACACAGTCATCCATAGCCACCTTCCCGTCATCCCTGGAAGTTCTCAGTGGGCAGTGAGGTACCAGCTTCTGCCCCAGTAACCAGGAATGGAAGATGGGCCGGTGCTCGCTGGCCTTGGAGTGGGCACCTGGCCCTGGCCATGGACATGGAGAGACTCGTTGTCAGCAGTACGTCTCACAGGCCTCACTAACTGGTGGCCTCATGAGCTCAGACCCTTTCCTGTAGTTGTTCAGCCAGTTAGCACAGAGCAAGAACCCAATCCTAACATGAAGCTCTTGCCTCTGTGTCACTGCCACCGTCGTCTCCAAGAAACTCATGCTTCTGAGGGAATATTCAATTCAATAAAATTTATAATAGAATGCATATCTGATCAAGAGCTGAACATGCCATGCCAAGGGAGAAAAGTTCCACTTCTTCCCACCCCAGGGTATCACAGGTAGAAAACAGAAAAGCATCCTGGGTAGAGTGACAACACAAGGAAGTGACCGGTCTGCTCTTCTTGGAAAATCTAGAAATGCTTCACACTGGTGCACATGTTTGAAGTGGGTCTTGATATTTGTGCATCCAATTCACAAACCAAGATTTCTTTTCTAGTATTCTCAGTTTTTCCAAGACTCCCAGAGGGGCCAGACCCAATTTTGAGAATGCAGTTAATCCCTGCTCTTACTTCATGTGGAATAGTTAGATATGTTTCCCTTGACTGATTATCTTATGTTCAGGCTGGATCCATACATGTAAAATAACTTTAAATCTTCAAATGTAACAAAATAAACTGTGATTTTTCAGATTTAGCCATCCGTTTTGTTTGGGACTGTATGAAGGAAAATTTTCAAATGTGAGTAAACAGTTATTTTTCAGCCAGTTGTCTTGAAAGCATTTCAGGGTAGGTTAAGAACTTGGAGACCCTTGTTCATGAATGAATCTTGTCCCTGTATTTTCACAGATGCAATGCTCTTAGTGGCAGAGCGACTGGAAGGGCCATTCAACATTGAGTCGGTCATGGACCCCATAGATGTCAAGATTTCTGAAGCCATTATGAACATGCAGGAAAACAGCATGCAGGTGTCTGCAAAGGTATTTGCATTAGTGATGTACCTATTGATGTCTGTACATAACACAGGTGCGGTAACCTAAAACTGAAGTAAGGAGTTATGTCAGCAGGGTTTATAATTTCTAATATGCTGCCGGTGAGCTTTTCCTGTTGAGCTGTAGATTTGCTACTTCGTTAAAAAATGTCTACCAAAATGGCATTGAGCTGGGGAAGCAACTCTTTACTTCAAAACTACTCAGGCATGACGAAATTATTGGCTGCCTAAAAGTTTCCCTGAGTCCCAAGTATGCTGACTAATCCCTCACATGTGTGAGCAACTTTCTTTTTCAGTGTTTGAAAGTTCTGCACACCTCTGCTTCATGTTCTCTCTAGTAACTTCTAATTATATAATCAGCTGTGTAGACAAAGTACATGTTCTATATATTCAATTGGAAATAACTCAGCATCCCATCTGACTTACTTTTGTGACTACAGTATAATATTCATTAATGAATCTTCAGGGGCAAATGCTCCTTTGTGTAGAGTCAAACACTCATTAAAAAGCAAAAAGTAGCACATTTTCATAAATCATATGCGACAGAGCTCCTAGGTTTGCAGCTGTAAAACAAAAATAGCAGGTGCACTGCTTTTGTCTCCACCCTGTTGAAGATAAACAGGACCCGCCTGAAGCGAAAGTGAGAAGTTTGCAGTGGGTCTCTAGCCTCTTCCTTCATCATTCCATCTCTGCCACACGGATGGCTGCACAATGCCCTTCTGTTCTTTTTACTCCCTCCCTCCCATGAAACACTAACCAAACCCATGTCAGGCCTTTAAACTTGGTGACTGAGTGATTGCATTTTAATTGAAAGTCATTCGCACTAAAATATGTCAGGCAAGTGTTGCATGATTAGCTTCCTTCAATTTTTAAAATCCTTTGTGAAGGAGATTTCAAATATAATCAAGGAGGAGTTGAGAAATTACAGAGCTGAAAGAGCTATGGAATCACACCAGGTCTCTCTGGCTGAGGGCTGAGTGTGAATCTAACTGGGTCTGAGCTTTTGGGGTGGCCTGGTAGGAAGTAGGATAAGAATGAATCTGGCCTCGGTTTCTTTCCCCACCCCAGAAATGGATGAGCTGAGAGCTTCATAGGTCTGTTTCTGGGCTTTAATGAGCTTGGGGTACCCTGTGAGAAGGAGGATGCTGTAAATTACCGTCACCTGCTGGGGGAACAGCACATTTGGGGGTTCCATGAAAGGCCGTTTTCTTTCATTCTGTAGAAAAAAAAATAACAAGTCTCTATTCCCCTCAAATCTATTGCCTAGAAACCAATTAATGTTGTTTTGAGAGGTCAGGTATCCCCAGAAGTGTTCAAGTAATTAGGGGATGAGGCTGTGGAAGTGCAAGATGGTCTAGAAATAGGACACTAAACACACACATGGACAAAGCATCTGCAGTCTGAGACCATCACACACCTCCTAGAAGGCATGGTCTGTTTCCATTGGTGTATACATACGTGCTCAAAGTCAAGCACTGTGCTTTCATTCTTTTCATCCACTCATTGAGCACATATTCATAAAGATCCCAAGTGGCAGACAAGGTGCTAGGTCCTGTAGGAACAGGAGTGAACGTGACACAGCTCCTGCCCTCATCAAATGCCCTTCTTAGTAAGAGATACAGACACTGAACAGATGGACAAGAGCATAAGGAAATGAACAGAATAAAATATCAGAGAATAATAGGTAATGTGAACAAGCTCCTCCTCCCTCAATGGACATATTTTGACAGAACTCTGTCATTGAGAGAAACTTTCTTTCCTTGAAAGAAATCAAGGACTTGAAAACATTTCCTCTAAAGGCAACTGCTTCTTTCTTTTCCCTGTTAAGGTTTATTAGTACATTTAAAGCAAATAATACAGTTATATTTATCATTGGGATCTTGTACCTTTACATGATATGTCTTGGTTCTCATTTTTCCCCATACCCCTGCCCTCTCTTCACACTCCTCACTCCTCCCTATTTACAA